GTCTCTAAGGTGCCACAAGTCCTCCTGTTCTTCTTTTTGCGGATACAGACTAACACGGCTGCTACTCTGAAGTCAATGGTAACAATCCCATTAAATTCAACCGGGCCTGGATTTCACCCTTTATCTGGAACAATAGACAGCACACAGTGGCATCTAGTGACTGCATGCTATACTGCATGCAAATTTCTCATTACAATGCCTACCTAGTGTTTAAAGCCGTGGCTCTCAACCTTTCTAGACAACTGTACCCCTTTCAGGAGTCTGATTTGTCTTGTGTACCCCCAAGTTTCACCTCACTTAAAAACTACTTTGCTTACAAAATCAGACCAAAAAATACAAAGAAGTGTCACAGCACGCTATTACTGACAAATGGCTGACTTTCTCATTGTTACCACATAATTATAAAATAAATCAACTGGAATATAAATGTTGTACTTACATTTCAGTGTATAGTATATAGAGCAGTATAAACAAGTCATTGTCTGTATGAACGTCTGTACTGACTTCACTAGGGCTTTTTATGTAGCCTGTTGTAAAACTAGGCAAATATCTAGATGAGTTGATGTACCCCCTGAAAGACCTCTGCATACCCCCAGGTGTCCAAGTACCCCAGGTTGAGAACACTGGCTTAAAGCAGGGAACACAGAGAGAATAGTGGAAAATCTCAGGAGAGGAGATGACCAGAGAACCCAGTTAGGGAAACTCAGAAGCTGGTGAAAACGATATATTTTTTCATAACCTCATAGTCAAACCATTTTAACTGAAAATTTCCCATAAAATTCAACCTGAGGCAGATTCCCAGCATGGGAAATTGACAAAGCAATCAGTAACCCCAAACAGGGTCTTATAATGGGAAGTGTTGGGCAACCTTATCTATAGGAGATGCTTCCAGGAAGTCTGGGATATGGGTGGCTGGACTCAGGCCCACATAACGTAGCATAGATGCTGGAGCCCCAGGTTGGGATCAGTATTCCCTCTAATTTTTTACATCCCTGTTCGGAATGAATTTTGTTACGTGCACCAATATGGGGGCAATGTGTGACACATGACCTTCATACTGGTGCACATAACAAAACTAATGGGGTGGGGCCGAGGAGTTTGGAGTGTGGGCCAGGGTGCTGGCTCTGGGGTAGGGCCAGGGATGAGGGGCTTGGGGTGCAGGCTGCCCAGGGGCTGCAGTGGGGAGAGAGAGGACTCCCCCCAGCCCTCTCTTGCCTCAGCAGCTCGGGGCTGGGAAAGCGGCGCCTCTCCCCGGCTGTAGCAGCTCTGGCAGGGCTAGGCCGAGGCAGGGGCTCCTCTCCCCCGGCCGCGGCAAGTCCAGGGCAGGTCCAAGCTGCGGCCAGTGGGGAGGAGTGCCTCTCCCCGCTGGGCCAGCTCCATGCTGGGGGAGAGGCTTCTCTCCCCGCCACAGCCCTGAGCCCCTGTGCGGGGCTTAAAAGACAGCTGCGTGGCCACGCAGCTTAGAGGGAACTTAGGTTGGGACCCAAGGTTCAATAATTGCCTGGGTTACACATGAGGGTAGATGTTCAAGCCCCAGGCAATAATACCCAGGATCTGCTAACTTGAGTTCTACTATCCTGGTCTTTCCTTGCAGTGTAAACATATCCTGAAGGGCCAGTTTGGGCACTTCCCAGATAGATCCTTTCTATTCATCGGCTGCTAGGAGCTGCAGTAATGTAACAACTGCTCATGGAGATTTGCCCATTACCTTGCCTTTCTGCTGTCATGTCTAGGGGCAATTCCACTGAGCAGCATTTCTGTGGAATTCAGGGCTGCCAGAGTTGGGATCTATACAGGTTTCTGGCCTCATGCTGTTTGCAGCATCTCTGCAATTGCTTTGTTCCTATTTACTTCAAATAGTACAACGTTGTCCAAGGCTTGTTAAAAAAAAGTTGAGGAAGGGAGGGAGAAATAACTAAATGATGGGTCTAAACTACTGAGAGCGTCCCTGTACAGGTAGCTTATCTTCTAATAACTTTTATTCATTAGCAGACAGTATTTCTATTCTATTTCTAAGGGTTAACTTTGTGAGCCTAGCACAAAAGGAAAAAAAGAAGTGAAGTCAATGCACACGCTGTATCCTAGCATACACAGCCTGGCAAGATCATACCAGTCCAGTCCTTCCTGATCTCTCTGTTCCCCAAGGTACAAAATGCACAACGTGTGTACTGCTTTCTCAAGCCTACCTTTGTGACAACACCCCGCCCTGCTCAGCCCGGTTGGCATCAGTCTACTTTTGGTTCCATCTCTCCTCTTTGTGCAGCAAAGCCATTAAAACCCTTCTTGAGGGGCTCATTCAGCAATCTGAGCCCCCCCTCATCAAGAGTCATTTGTAGCTTCATCTGTAAACCGGGCTTGTTGTAATTTGTACGACTGTAGCATTAGGTGCACCACTCTAAGCACCAGGGCTTCCTGCCACTATTGATAGGCTGGGAGATTGAAAACAATTTGACTTTATTGCTTCTGTGTCTGACTTGCCTCTCTTTCCTCGCCCCATCCCCACCCTGCACTCTTCAGCCTCCAACCCAGCACAGAGCGTGATGTCTAGCTTACCAAACAGGTGTTCCAAAAAACAAGCAACTGCCTACAAATACACTGCATCCTCTTGCATTTTCCCTGTCACTCTTCTCTAGTTTGTCTTCCTTGTCATTCTCCTCGCATAGCAGGCAGCGTGTAGTATTTTTGTACTTTGTAATAAATTATTACATTTGTTTCACTGGACACAGTTATACACCCTCATTAAAAATCTTCATCATTACGAATTCCAAAATGAATTCTGAGATATGCTGCAGAAGCAAATGCCCATTAAAAAAAATTTTTTTTACCTGTCCAAATGAGTAACCTCTGTGACGTCTCTTCTGAAGAGGGTGTCACTTACGTCCCTTAGTCCACTGGAGGTCTCTCCGCATTGACTCTTGATTTCACCATTTGTGGGAAGCTTACAGACATCTTGCTGTCCTGAAGCAGAAGTTCTTTCTAAGAACTGACTGCCTTCCTTGATACGTTGCTGGATCATCGGAGTGAGTGGCATTTCAAAACTAAAGTAGCTATCGGGTTCCGAGTATAAAGTCTCCAGGGATTCCGCACTATAATATAAAGAAGCATTGTCTAGAATGTTTTCAAACTGCGAGCTATACACATCAATGGAGACTTCTACATGCCTTTGTCCAAGGACATCTTCACATCCTCCCGTGGCTGCTTCTTCCTCCTCCATGATCCTAGGAATAAACCAAAAAGAGTCGGTTTAACTTTTGTTCGATTAGAACTGTTGAGTAAATCTGCTTATTTTCCCTGTGAGTGAGTCACACATATAAAAAGGAACTCAATGGTCTTGAGTTCTAGTTATTCAAATACAATGCAGAACTGATACTTTGGTTCCAGCGCCGTGCTGCAGTACAGAACTGACACAGTCTTCCTCCCTGGTGTGCTACAGTTCTGAGAAGGGAGGAAATAATGTTCGGGAGAAAAGAAAACATGATGTTTACTAAGAAACAACATCAGCTTGCTGTGTTCAGTGAAAGATACAGTGTGCTTTTCTGAGCAAGAGTACTAGTCACAAATACAGACATCTAGCTCCCCCCCACCACACACAGCACCACTACTGACTGCAACACAAAAGGAATTATAGTAGATAAGATGCTTCACCAGGAGCTTAGTCCCAGTCCAGCGGGGGGAGAGAGGGGAAGCAACTCAGCCCCACACAATCCCAGTGAGGTGTCAGGGCCTCAGAGGAAAAACTAATACAAACCTCTGTTAAATGCAACCTAATACACTAATGCAACAGAGTAAACACCCAGCACAGGTAGTATCAAAATTTAAGTGGAATGTGCAGCGCTGTTTGGCCTTTCTGCAGATGGCCATACCAGGGTTCTAAACCTCCCTTTGGAGAACTCTGATTTATTTAAGTCAAAGAGGGATGAGGTACTTGAGAAACGGAAGGCAACCAAGCGAGGTTGTTTGGTCTTCATCAGACTTCTAATAAGCAGTCTTCCTTCCCTGGTCCTCAGACATCTTCTGGTTAGGGGCATACGCTCAGCAGTCCTGGGTTAACGTTTTCAAACTGGCCTATGTGATTTAGGAATCTGCGTCTCATTGAAAGTCAATAGGGCTTAGGCCAAGTCTTTAAGTCACTTTTCAAAATGGAACTTAGGTGCTAATGAAAATGTTACCCTTGGTCCTCCAGGAGGCAACCCAAATCTAGGCAGGGATCACTTCACCCTCTGAAATAGCAGCTTCAGATGCAGATCTGCAGCTGCACCAGAGGACTCCTTATCATTCCTGTGTCCCAGTCCTTCTTCCCAAAGCCCATGACCAAGCTTGTTTATAACTTACGTGCTAATGCGTTCTGAGGATGAACATGGGTTTGGTTTGGCACATCATTCTTCTGTAGCTGGGTTTCTAATGAAAGCGCAGGAAGGGTGGCAGCTGAGAGCTGTGACTTTCTGCACTGTTTATGGAATGTGATGTTAGCAACTGTGCTAAATTGGACAGTGGTTTTCATGCAGAAATGACAGCACTGAAACCAGTGCGTTGCTTGCAGTGGAGTTTAGGCTGTGTTTCAACTGCGCAGGATGAGGAAAGAGAAATGTGTGTCGAGGGTGGAGGAAGAGAGATTTGTTGTGGTTAATAGGGGAACTGATGAGTGGATGTAGATGTGGTATTGAAAGACATAACTACTTATTTCCTTGGTTTTGTATGGGCTCTATTGCTTAGTCTGCCAGGTTTGTGGGGAAATCCCCCAGCTATTTTAGTAAGTAGGTATTGGCACTGAGCGCTGTCCATCACATAGCAGTGTTGATGCATGCTATCCTCTGCCAGGCCCCATGCAGTGCCCCAGCTCCCTGCAGAACTGAATTCCCAGCCATCATCCCCTATGAAGTCCTATTCCCCATCACAATGCTTAGATTGCCACCATCTTCCTGACCCTACAGCCCTGCTACACTCCCAGACACACACACACACACCCAATGTGCTCCCCACCCACTCGTTCAATATCACATGCAGCTTTTGGACATGGTCCTGGATGTATAAGTTGGGGGGAATCCAGGGGAGAGTCTGGGGCTGCAGAGCTGGGCTGTTAGAGCATGTGGGGGGCCCAGGGGCAGAGTGAAGATAGAGCTGGGAGGAGTGGTAAGGGAAGCTCTAGGACGACAAATCACAGGTGGTTTGTCAGTACACAGCACCTCTCCCCTCTGCTTCTCCGACTCCAGGCCCTGCCTAGCTCAAGCCACACGCTCCCTCGTGCTCCCCTCACATAACTCTGCTCTCCCTCATCCCTACCCTTCCCATTCCCTCTCAAATTAGCTGCTCACCTCTCCTCAGCCCCCAAGGCGCTGCTGCTTGGTGAGCCTGGCGGTGGTATCGGGCAAGTGCCTCCCCATTTAGGGAGAGCAGGGGGAGGCACCTGTCCCATCCCCCCTGTTTCATATCTCCTAGTGCTCACCCCAGCCCCAGGTGGAGCTCTGACCTGCAGCGCCGCACAGCCAGATCTCCTCCTCCAGGAGAAAGGGTTCTCCGCTACGGCTCCCGCTGTGCCAGCT